CCCCCCCATGAACCCTTGATAATTTATAAATTATTATTTTGTCATGTCTTTTTTTTGGATGTTTTATGAAGATTTATATGTGTTAGTTATGTTAAAATCTTATTCCATGGATATCCATTCAGCTAGCTTTCAGCAGGAACCGGCATGGTTGTGAGCATTACAAATCCTTCAGTTCTCCAAACATGAAGCCTTATCCTATCCTTTTTTTGAGAACTCATTTCCACCCGCTGTAGCAAAAACCTGAGTCTTCACATCCTTTAGAGCACTCCAGTGTGCACCAGTTAGGTGGTTCCAGATGCGTCAGACTCGGCCCATCGTTGGGACTTCCAGCCCCTTCCTTCTGGTGTCCGCTGTGCCCACGGCCGGAATTCCAGCGCTATTTTCAAGACCTGTGACGATATTTTGTCATGTCTTAACACTGTCCGACATCTCCCTTTACCACTGTTGTCCGTCCCCCAGGGAGGAGGTTATATGTAGATCCTTGTAATTGGTTCCTCCTTTCTACCCTACCACTGGTCCTGAAGGCTTCATCTGTCCTGGATTCCCTGTGTTTCCACTTCCTGTCTGTACCAGTGTGCATCCTCTGGTCTAGCTGGATTTGCAAGGTAGAATTGGGATCATGATAGTGGAGGGAGGAAGCATTAAAGAACTAGAGGAAAGTTGTCTGTTTCATTGTTGCTGCCCTGCACCCTGACTGGCTCGTCTCTCTTCCCTCTTTTTCTGCATATTCAATGAAAACTCCCATCCCTGAGAACCCTAGGACTGCTTCCATCCTTCATCTTTGCCCCTCCCTTGCCTGTGCCCAGGCCCTGTCTCTCTGCCCCCCACCATGTTTGCTGCCCTTTGTGCCCCTGCCTCACCAGGTACAAGGAGCATGAAGATGGCTACATGCGACTGCAGCTGGTTCGCTATGAAAGCGTAGAGCTGACCCAGCAACTGCTACGGCAGCCCCAAGAAGAGCCGGGCTTGGGAGTTTCGCTGAACGAGAGCAGCCTGCAGGGCATCCTTCTAGAAACAGTCCCAGAGGATCCAGGACTTGAAGAGGCTGAAGAGGGTGGGGGTGGTGAGGGGACAGCTCTTCAGGAAACCCCCAGCCCTGTCCCCCACTTGGTGAATCAGACCAGTGCCCAAAGCCAGCAAGAAATTGTCTACTATGTGCTGTCTGAGGCCCCAGGACAGCCTCCCCTGCACGCTGAGCCACCCTCGGGGAGTGGCACGGAAAAGCTTCAGGGAACAGCGAAGGAGCCCCGGTACCCATGATGTGAAGGCTGCAGGCCTGACCACTCCTACCTCAGGGCCTAGGTTTGAGCCAGCTGGTGGCAGCCCCCCAGTGGCAGTCAGCGCGTCCCTCGAGGAGTGGTGCTGAGAACTGCGTCCATTCTGGACCAGGCACCACCTATTCTCCTGACGGACTTCCCTTTGCCGCCAGATCAGTCGCCGTGTAATGGGGATACTGAGGAGCTGGATTCTGTATGGGGAGCATCGTGGGGGGTGTTCGTGGTGAGGGGACTTAGCAGGCTTAACGAGAAATCCTGCACACAGGCTAGAGAGAGGGTGAAATCCGTGGTCATGCACATTCACTCCTATCTTTGTGGGGGCCGTCCGTAGACTCAGGGGTCACCTGTAACTGCCCTCTCTAACAGTTCTTTCCTTGAAACCAGCCAAGGCATTGAGAGCCAGACCTCCATTTCTCTCCTGGGGGGTCTTCCAACAGCCCCAGGAGTCCATTGTATCCTCAGGGACGGGATTGGAGGCGCGGAGTTTGTGGATAAGGATTGTTTTTTGGTAATAAAAGACACTTGGGTGTTCACTCACATGTCTTCCTTACCTCTGGTCACATTAAACTGGACAGTGATGAGACACAGCACCCTGGGAAGCCAGGTAATTCGGCTTGTTCCCTTTTCAGTGCCTGGGTATTGATTGTGAGCAGTCTTATCCCTGCCCTGCTTTGCTGTGATTTCATGACTTCTCAGCATCTGCCATCCCCATGGAAGCCCCAAGCATAGGCCGCATGGGACCTGTGAGTGGGGCTCCCCAGCGGGAGCAGGTCACCCACAGTCTCACGTGCCGAGTCTCACACTAGGTGCAAGGTCCCAGTGAGAACTCAAACAGGCCATCATGGAGCCCATTCCAACTCTTCGTGACCCTGCAGGACAGAGTGGACTGCCCCGTGGGTAGCTGCCACGACGGACGAGTGATCTCAAACTGCTGACCACGTGGGCAGCACTCACACCTAACCTACCATGACCCAGGGCTCCCCGCCGAGAAGTTCGGGGTCAAGGTTTTCAGAAGCCTTTTTTTTCTTTTGAGTTAAATCATTGTATTGGGGGCTCATACAACTCTCATCACAATCCACACATCCATCCATTGTGTCAAGCAAGCACTTTTGTACATTTGTTTCCCTCATTATTCTCAAAACCTTTGCTTTTCGCTTGAGCCTTTGGTATCAGCTCCTCATTGTTACCCCCCCTCCCCGCTCCCCCCTCCCTCATGAGCCCCTGATAATTTATAAATGATTATTTTGTCATATCTTACACCATCTGACATCTCCCTTCACCCACTTCTCTGCTGTCCGCCCCCCAGGGAGGGGGTTATATGTACATCCTTGTAATCGGTTCCCCCTTTATATCCTACCTTCCCTCCACCCTCCCATTGAGAAACCTTGACAGCGTGAGTCTTTGCCTGTCTGATGGCGTGTTTGGGGAGAAGGCACTGTACTTGTTCCACTGGGGGTATGCTACAGGTGGTGAAATCTCTGTGGGGTCCCAGGAAAGCCAGTCTAGATAATGGACTGACTGTAGGAAACAAATTTAATTCATGCCTCCATTTCACCATCTCATAAAGGACCTCTCCTTGAGGAAGGTAAATACCCACATTGGCATAAACTTAGTCCTTGAATTCTTGTGGCCTCCACCTGACTTTCTGCTTGCACTCTATTACTCTTCAATCTGCATTCCTCGTCATTAGTCGAATAATAAAACATGTCCAGGTGTGAGGTCCTGCCTACCCCCTTAGATTGGTCACCCCTTGGTCTACGACCTGCTGCAGGGCAGGCCACAAAGTCGCACACCTCCTCGAGTTTGTGGAGAATCCTTGGTTCCTCTACCTGGGATGGCTTGCCCACCGTCTGTGGGCAGACATCCTTTCAGAGTCCCCATAGGCTCTTCCTTGAAGCCTTTCCTGATCGCAGAGTAAGAAATACTGCTGCTTCAATATAACATGATGGGCTTCGATCACTGTCTCTCAAGTCCCTCCAAAGTGGCTATGTATCTCCCTCACAGGAGCTCAGTAAATGATGAGAAAAACATTTTCCCCCTAATTCTGCCATAGGTACATATATTTTTTAATTTTATTGGGAGTTTGTACAACTTATCACAAATCATTTTATTGGGGGCTCATACAACTCATCACAATCCATACATCCATCCATTGTGTCAAGCACATCAGTACATTTGTTGCCATCATTTTCAAAACATTTTCTTTATACTTGAGCCCTTGGTATCAGTTCCTCATTTTTCCCCCTCCCGCTCTCGCTCCCAAGTTCTTGATAATTATTTTTTCATGTCTTACACTGACTCCTACTTGTCTCCTTTCACCCACTTTGCTGTTGTCCGTCCTCCAGGGAGG